AAACCCAAGGCAATTAAAGCTAGAGAAGGGGAATTTCGAGCTATTTCTTACCAAAAAACCGAGCAATTCACCCTCACAAAGCAGGAGCAGCCAGCAGTGAGGAGGAGGAAGCAGCAGCAGATCTGGATTTTCCAGTAGGGGGGAGAATTTCTGGGTTCTAGAACAAGAAAAGAAGGAGAAATCTTCAAGCTTTCAACCGGTTTCTCTTCATGGGAGGCTGTCGGCTTGCTTGTTTCCCCCCTTTTTTTTTTTTTGCTCGGTACAGGGGAAGAACAAGAAAAGCAGAACACACGGGCTGGGAAGAAGAAAAGAAAGAAAGAAAAAGGAGAAAAAGAAAAGAAGCTGATCCTTATCCAAAATCCTTTCACTTTTAAGTCCCTCAACTTTTGAACATTTTACCATTAAGCCCCAAAACAGCATTTTTCCACAATTTAGTCCTTAACTGAATGATAAAATATCACAAAATTTTGGGATATCACATCCACCCCTCTTAAAAAGGAGTTTTGTCCCCAAAACTCAAATTGGGGATCATTTCGAGTGGTGAATGGCTTCACACAATCCAAGAGAAAACAAATGCTCCACCAACTTTCCACAATCAAAACCTAACCTATTACGCTTCCACTACGCCACTCTAATATCAAACCACAACTAATCTTTAAAAAACAGAACATTAACTATTTAACAGGATTTGCCATGAAACAACTTATTGGAGGCTGGGGTGATATGAGAAGCACAAGGAATAAAAATAAATCTTGCCAAAGCCACAAAAGAACAGTTGTGGGGTTACGCTATAAACCCTACACAAGACAAGTTGGCAAAGAATGGCATGGACTTAAAGATGAGTACAACAAAACTTTGAACTCTATCAAAGACGGATAAGCATCCAATGGATGTACAAATCATGAATGAATGAACAAGTGCATGGATGCCTTATACATTCTGTCACAAAACAAGGTTAACCAATAAGTAAGATCATGTTTAACAAGGCAACTGGAATCAAGAAACAGATTTTAGCAATTAACAAGAGTTAAAAGCTAGGACCATCAAAAGACATGTAAGAATCTCAAGAATTGCAACAGAATAAAATCAATGGAAAATATGAATGCTTGGAAGAATACTGGAACATAAGAGTGTAAGGTAGAATGCCTCAAAAATTTAACAACAAAATGGCATTCACCAAGAATCAAAGATCAAATTTAACCAAGCAGTCAAAATTGAGAGACAAGAGTTAACCATGAAACAAGCAATAAAATTCAAGGATTAGGCCCACAAAAGAGATTTCAATAATGACAATGAGAATAAGGATTCAAGAGCAGATATAACCAGGATGTCAAGATCTAGCACCTCAAGTACTAGAATTTATTAATAGAACACAGCAATGGCTGGGATCAAGATGCTTAGAAGATTACTGTCTTCTGATGAAAAGAGCAAACAAAAATCTAAGCAGTCAAATAAAAGAACAATTTTAGTTGAAACAAAACTCTAGGACATCAAGTACTTTAAAAACTACCCCTTCACCTCGTAGCCCATGGAGGCTAAGCAGATTTACAATCAGGTCATCTTAGAGTCAAGTCAAAACTAAGACATTAAGGATATAGAGATTAACATTTGCAAGAGGTAAGAATCAAGATGCCTCATATAGGTATCTTCTAATAATCGTCACCCCTCCTAAGAGGTGTCTATATGAACAAAAATCAAAATCAAGAAGATCAACAAGTATACTAAAACAAGAACTAGCAGAATATACAGGATTTGAGCAAGAGCAGTATACAGAATTTGAATAAGAGTAGAGGTCCGGACAAGAATGATTTTCAAGGACAATTTAAAATAGATTCCAAGAACAATGTAAGAATTAATTTCAGACAAGTATCAAGATAATGAGGATTTCAATAATCATTATCCATTTCCTTTGGATTTCAGTTTCAAGAACAAGTACAAAGCAATCTCAAGAAAAATTCAAGACGAATTTCAAGAGTTTCAAGCAGTTCCAAGTATCAAGAATGTAGAGATTGGCAACAATAGAGAGTTTAACTTTATGACAACTTGCCAATCTTCACAAAAACATGGCAATTTCAATTGAATTGATCACTGTTTTTGATTAACCAATATAGAAAAATGAGCCACATGAAAAAACCATGAAGCTCCAATGGAAAAAGTGAAACTTCACTATAAGACTTTTAGAAAGGTAATGAGCAGCAAAATTACCAAGCTATCCAGCTCCTAAAATGCATCTAGAAAACACACAACATTAGCTAAATGGCCTTGAATCTCTTACAAAGTAGAGGGTTGCCCATCTTCCACTGGTCGTGTGACAAACAGAGCAATTTTCTCAACCAGCTATGCTGTAGAGACCAACAGGATCAATTAACAAAATATCTTCGCAACTTCCCAGATTTTACAATGGTTGCAAAAGAGCATACAAAAATTCTATCCAAGTAACAAGTCTAAACAAGTGCAGACTATCAGAAAATGACCAAGTTTCAAAACAAGGTCTTAAGAACATGGCAGACAAGATTAATTTCATGTATCTACACGGGGTGTGAAGGCAGGAAACAAGAACAATCAGATTACCATCTCATCAAAATGGATTAGAAAATTCAAGCAACATGAATCAAAATTGTCCCTTATATAACCCCATCACTCGTCTCACCACGGTTCTAAAATCCATTGGCTAGCCAAGTCCAAAACAAATCCTAGGTATTCAATTAAACCTAGGTATTTAATTAAATCTAAGCTCCGATACCACTCAATTTGCTCTAATGCCACTCAATCTGGAGGTGCTTAATTTAATCCAAAGCTCTTAATTTAAACCTAAGCTTTTAATTTCAACTTAAGCTCTGATACCACTAAATCTGCAGATATCTAATTTAACCTAAGCTCTGATACCATTAAATCTGTCACGCCCCAAAAACCAAATTCGAGGTGCGATAGACGCCGTGCACTCGTGAGAGGGTCCCACAAATGCACAAGGCTCAGAACTAATCATATCACAATCTAATACCACCAAAATCTGAAGATCAAATTATAAAATTCTCTCTGATATCATAAAATCTCCAATACAGTTTAGCTTACAAGATCATGATATATTTCTAAAATCTATATCAAATCTCGAAATGGCTAGCTTTCTAACTCGTCACTTCCTGTGATTCCCCGTCCTCGGTTTCGCTTCCTAAAATGGTGGACAAGGAAAAACTATGAGATAAACTTAGTAAGTAAAATATGGAGTGCCCTTAATTAAACTTATAGTATGCCAACATGTGCAATTACGAAAAATGGATACAGTACGAGAACAAAATAGACGTCTCCTCTATAGATCACGGCCAGTGTTATAAACCTCCCACTAGCAGGCACACGATTTGCTGGTTTATAACCCCCACTAGCAGGGTTGAACGAACTGGTTCTATCACTAACATGTCAACATGTGCTAGCGTTTATAAACCTCCCACTAGCGGGCACACGAATAACATGACCATATCGGAGACAAAACAGGTAGAGGTTAACAGAAAAATCATAATTTACCAATCACTTTCAAATCATCAGGACAATCAATTAAACTTTCAAGTAGGCATGCTCAATTTAATGAAAAGCATAAACATTTCACTTCAAATCAATCATACTTACTTTTGTATAAAACGGATTTAACCCCACCACCACTTCAAAAATAAGTCAAAACATGCTTTTAAAAATTGTACGGGCATTACCATAAACTTACTTGAAATCACATAAAACCAAGCACTCAATTCACGTACAAAAGTACCCCAAGGATCAAGAACCTAATCAAATATCCGAGAATTAATACCGTACTATCACAAATTCACACTGAAATCATCATTAACACTACCCTTAATCACGATGCTATTTCTATAAATCTCCACATTATCAGATATCTCCAAATTCGTTCTTATATCACAAACTAATCATTTAAATCCCCGTTAATTGTTAACCCTCGGTGTGTGAACAGTAATCTGTGAACAGTACCCACGACGTGAACAGTAACTCCGACTTCCAAAAATTGGCCAAAACACTACCTAATTCACGGGATTTTCTCCAAAAATACACAACAGTCAATTAACACTCAATCACATAAATCTCACTTGAATTAATGCTTAAACTTTGTCCTAAAGCTACCGGAATTCCCCCATTTTTCCAACACAATTCGGACACACAATAGGGCAGCAATTAAAAGCAAATAAATGGACAAATTCAGGGCTTGGAGGGCTGCCACATACCAGAATTTGCATGCAAGGAACCAGAGCTGCAGGGAGAAGAAGCCGGCGGTAGTGCAAGGGGAAGCTCACGGAAACTACCCAAAAATTGAAGGGAATAAGAGCAATTAAGGTAAACCCAAGGCAATTAAAGCTAAAGAAGGGGAATTTCGAGCTATTTCTTACCCAAAAACCGAGCAATTCACCCCCACAAAGCAGGAGCAGCCAGCGGTGAGGAGGAGGTAGTAGCAGCAAATCCGGATTTTCCAATAGGGGGGAGAATTTCTGGGTTCTAGAACAAGAAAAGAAGGAGAAATCTTCAAGCTTTCAACCAATTTCTCTTCATGGGAGGCTGTCGACTTGCT